GTTTTCCGCCCTCGCGGGATATTGCTTCGCAAACTCCTTTCCGGCTCTCGTAGCGAAGACGTTGGTGTCCTCTTCAGAGTCGGTTAAGGCAGTCATCGCCGCGTTGTCTGTATCCAGGATGGCGGTGACAACGTTGCAATATTTCCTCTTAGCCTCGTTGGAAGGCTGTGCGGTCCATTGCTCGTCGTCGAGGAGGTCCGGATGGACCCACATCACTTGCCCTGATGGCAGAGTTTGTGGAACCAAACCCTTCTCCCGCTGGTTGTGAGGATCGTCGTTAGTGATCTTCAAAACCGCCTTGGGGATAGGAATTATCCCCGCCAGAGCTTGAACCTCTGGGAGACCCGTCCCAAAGCTCAAAGTGACCATGTTCGCCGTCACCTGCTTTTGGACCTTCTCTTTCTTCAAGACCCCCGCGTCGTAGAGGGCCTGGAGTTTGTCCTTGAGGACGTAGCACTTGGTTGTGTGATGCCCAAGGAATCTGTGATATGCACAGTAACTTGGGTCACCGGTTTTGTCTGCCTCTTCAGGCTTGGTGGCTTCCGGTAACTTAATCCGCCCACTCTTGAGTAGAGTGTCGAAGGTAGCTACCACCTGGTCTTCTTTGAAATCATATTGCCGCTGGGGACGCGGTTCAAATTGCCTGGGTTTCGGCTTTTGAACGAACTTTGGCGCCGCGGCAGAGTCTACGGCCATAGCCTCTTTTCCCTTCGATCGAGGAGGGTTCTTTGGCGCCGCTGGTTCTGCTGCTCCCTTTTTGGACTGTGGCTCTTCGGCCTCCAGCCTCTTGATCATATTTTCAACTTGCTCGCCCTGGCGGACAAGTTCCTTCCAAGTTCGGGTTTCAACTGCCCCTATTTTGGACAGGATGTCACTACAAAAAAAAGAAGAGTTAGGGGCAATTATTTTCGTCACTTTTAATTCAATTAGAGGCAAATAAATGGAATTATCTGCCTCTAATTACATGAGTGGCAAATCTCGTATCTGCACCTAAATGTGGTGTTGCTAATAGTTAATAGGGGCAATATTGCACAAACTTCCGCCCCAAATACTCAATGCGCCACCTCAGCATGTTTATTTGAAAAAGTATTAGAGGCAAATATAATCAACTCTAATAACTTATTAGGTGCAGATGTAACTGCCACAAATAGTTTGAAATATAATAAATGTATTTACTTAAGGTACAAATATAATCGCCTCTAATACCTTATTAGATGCAGATGTAAGTGCCCCAAATAGTTGGAATTAAAATAAAGATATTAATTTAAGGTACAAATATAATTACCTCTAATAACTTAAATTTGATATTAATATTTTTATTTTTTAATAAATCTAGAAAAAATAATTAATTTCTAATTCATATAATTAAATTGAAAAACAAACATAAAATAATTGACACATGAATAATTTTGATTAATAAGAAGTCAATCCAATTTGATTACATAACCAAAATTGATTAAAAAACGTGTGACAAATAGTACTTAACAATAACTTAAATAACCAACAAAGTTGACCTTTAACATGAATGTAAAAATATTGACATTGCAAATTAGCATATGCTCGCCCAGTACGTGATCAAAGTGATAAAGAAGTTGGCTGAGTTTGTGCCACACAAGGAATAATTTCTGGCGCCACCCCTCTTCCATAACAACGAACTCTACCATGAGTCTCTAAACCCTTTGCTGCTACATAAGCTTGTTGCCTTAGCTCTGATGTTTCCTCACCATGGGTTTCAACCAAACTCGTTAATTCCTGTGAGATCTTAAAAGAATTCACTTCAACAGCCAAAATGGACACAATATGAAGTAAAACAATTTTTTTACATGTATTACTAGTCTAAATACAAATGATTAAATTTCAAACTCACCGCCAATTCCTCTGATGCATCATCTATCCAACTTTTGTTTTTATCTCGCCGTTTGTGCACTATATAAAACATCTCAACAGGATCGGGTTTGCGACCATGTTTTTTCTCCTACTTGTAAAACACAGAAAAACAATCATAAATTTTATTTACTTAAAGAAGCAACATCTCAAAGAAGCAAACTTCAACAGTAAATGTAATGTTATGGACATCAAATGGTTACTTATAAGAATATCTTAGAGTATTCATATTTTATTTAATTATTATACTATTGAACATCTCCAAGCAGTTCCATGAATTCCTAGTTGCCTCAAAGGCTCATATATTGACATGTCCCATCACTTGCTCTAACAGCATTGTCCATGACAATAAAAAAACAAAAGAGGTGAAAGATGGCCAACACTAGTCCAGGAACCACCACCACAAGCACTGCTGAAACCTAATTTGTTTACACAACCTAAAAAACTCGTACATCGCAGTGAGAAGGTAAAAAATCTATAACTGCGCAATATACTTGTTCACTTTTCAAATACACCCCCAAATGATTTGCATAGAACAGTAAAATGTTTGCCCCATAGATAAGTCAGCACGAAAATTGCACTTCATGCCTGGCTCACCGCCTTTGCACTCAAAGAAGCAGATCAAATGGCAAAGGAACAAAAATCCAAATATTTGAGAATGAAATGCTTAGGAATTGACGATCACTCCAAAAGGAACCTCAGGAGTCAAACAGAAATGCTAACTAGCTGAGACAGTGGCTGAGATTTTATCAACTATAACTCACAGAAGGACCATATGAAAAGTTAGCATGCTAAAACTGGTGAAATTGTGCGCTGACTTACAACTAAGAAACTGCAAAGACTTGGCCAAAGACAGCGAACCCGCTGGCAAATATTTTACGCAGAGAATGTCAAAAGAAACACTGTATTACACAGTTAGCCTTCCACGGCTCTGCCGATTAAACATTGTCACACAGTTAACTTTTCATGATACTCAGTCTGATTGGAATGCTCTGACCATCAACTTTATACCAAAATAAATGGATTTGAGAGATGCATGCCTTAGCTTAAGTGTAACTCCTAACTTCAATTTGAAGTCAACTGAGAAAGAAGGCATAGAAGTATCACCAATAGTAATTAAGGAGTATGTCACGAAGGATGTGCAAGTAAAAATTAACACTTTGATCTACCATACTTTGTAGGCCAGAAGATTCTGCACAAAGGAAGGATTTGAAAACCTAGATGGA